GTCACGTGCAGTTTAAAGGGTGGTCTTAGGGGTTTAGGGTGTATTGGGTTGAGTCAAGAGAAATCCGGACAGCCCTGTCAGAATTAAGCAGGATGTGTCTTTCGCATTTTTCGCTCCCAGCGCGAAACTCCTTCCAGCATAGCTGAGAATCAAAAGCGCCGGCTCCTGTGGCCTTCGGTCTCAATATCTGCAGCTCCTCATGCATGTCTGCAGCCTGTCTTCGCAAGGCGAGAATAAATAACCTTTCTTCTCGCACTCGGTGTGCATTTCGGCGCAGACGCCCCAGCAGCTGCCGGATTGTCTGCTACATGACTTGCTGGAGCAATGGTCCAGGCATTGATAGAGGTCTTTGCGACACCAAGGGGTGAGATCATAAGAAGCTTTCTTTTCCATGCAGGCTTTCCAAACTGTCTGGGTGCAGGTGTCCGAGCAATCGCTTGTAGCCTCCTTGCCGGCACAGCCATGAACTTGGAGCAGTTCCAAGCTGCATTGACCTGAACTGCAGACCTCATCAGTTGCTAAGGCCTCATTTATCTCTTTTGAGGCTTCAGCTGCACAGAGCGACGCAAGCAGAAGCTTAGCTGCTCGGAAGGCCATGGCGAAATCGAAAGCACTTTGAGCAGCAAGAGGGCGCTGTGGTTTTTGAGCTTGAGCTGGTAGTGACTGAAGCAACCACAAGAAGCACCATATCGCATTGAGAACCGTGTTCCATCTCGCAGCAGGTGCCCAAGCATCTGGATGTGTTTCTTTCAGGTTGTGCTCAGTTTGTGAATCATTTCTGGACTCTGCCTGCATAAATTCGGGTGCAAAGGAAGCAACAGAACGAAGCCCGCTGGGTTTTGCTGCGGACCTCAGGATTTCAGGCGGCTAACGGAAGCCTGCTGTGTGAGGATTTTCCTGCGATTGGCATTTTAGGGTTTGCTGCTGGGGAAGGTACTGGTCTATGGCTCTGAGGTCTAAGGTGCACAGCAATCCAGGCGCTGGTGAGAAGTCCGGTGACATTACTCACGGCACCCACACAACTCAAGCCATGCGAAGATGCTGCATGCGCAGCAGGGTCGGCCTGGCCTCTTGCGAAGAGCAGAAGCCCAAAAGGTGAAACAATGTGCTATCAAGTTGCCGGGCTTTCCAGCTTCACAGTATGTCACGCAACTCACCTAAGGCATTGCAGCTCGGCCGTAGAGGGGGGCAGAAGTCTCGCGCATGTACTCAAGCTCGCGCCGACATCGGCCGGCTGGCGATTAAGTCCACAACCACTGTTGAACTCCTGAAGCCGGACCCAGGCCTTTCATCTGATAAAGTTTCGTGCCCATGCTATGCACAATCAAGTGAACGTCAGAGCCTACATTCTACAGATTCTGCATCCACCCCGCCCTGAGTGATCTTGACGACATGCTGGACACAAGCCTTTGCGAAGTCGTCAAACCAACTTTTCTGGTCTGCGGCATACCGCTCCACCTTTGCCACAGCTCGTGGAGGCAGCAAAGAAGCATCGCTCATGGAAGCGAACCCAACACTCTCGGGAAGGCACGTGCTGCTTGAAGGCCGGATCTTCTACCAATGCCATGTCCTGACTTGGGAGTACAGGAGTATAGAAACAAAATCCTAAAAAGCAGGATCCCTTTGTGATGCCCTGTACCCCTGAGTGCAGCAAAACCCCCGCTTGCACCCGACAACTACACAAGCTGGGGCTGCAGCCGTTGTTAGCATCATGGTTTCTCCCGACCTCCGACACACTGCAATTGTACAAGTCTTGCTCCAAGCTCCGCTCAGCATCTTATCACAGATGAAGCCTGTACTGTGGTTTTCCATGCCGGTTCGTCTCCTTCGTCCACGGCTTCTGGAGCAAGTCCTGTCGTGTCCCGCTCAGACAACCAAACGAGACTCTTGCCGACGAAACGCAGCAGACTCAACATGCAAGCCATCCTTGAAATAGGAGTTGTCGAACAGGAGCTTGTCCTGAGCCATTTGGGAAAGCGAGGCGCGTCTGGCTCTGCTGCGCCGAGAGCAGGACATCAGTCCACGGACCCTCAAAGCCCGAGCGATCGCCATGACACATCCTTGGCTCAGGCGGCGAAGCCACTAAGAGGAAGGAGGCACCGATCTTCCCGGGAGCCATCGGCCAGCCGCTTAAAACAAAGATCGCCTCGACTCGAGTGCAGGGCCGAGCGACCCGACCGTGTGTGCACCCGAAAGCGCGACCATGTCACGGTCCTCGAAGCCCTGGGTGTTAGCCGCAACTCGAAGCTGAAGACACAAGCTGGAGATGAGGCCCTGCCTTGGGGCCGAATATGCCCCTGATGTGATTGGCATCCTTGTCCCCATCCTGCACGTCCAACATTTACTTCACGGATAAAGTAAACAGCTGAACTTTGGCTTGACCTTGGGAGAACGTAAGGCAGCTTCGCAGCACGTTCTGCAGGCTTCGTCGCTGTGGCCCGTAAACTCGCTGTGTAGGCCTCACTCTGCCTACCGCCTCAGTAAGAAGTCGGCACCCGCGATTTCTTGCCTAGAAATCACCTATCGGACGCAGGTGGCGAGAAGAGGGGAAGCTTTTCACAAGCAAGGCAGAGACAGTTCAGACGCGGCCCGAGCGTCTCGTGTAGATGGAGAGAAGGTACAAAGATGAGGTGAGACCCTGACGATCGAAGGCTCCGACCAGCCTGCAATCAGTTCCTAGCCTTTTCCTTTGCATCGGCAGCCGAGTTCGCATCGTCTAAAAACCTCCAGAGGCAGACAGCTACCGCGGCATCGCCCTCGAAGCGCAGGGGGCGAGAATGGTCAACTCCTCTCAAGACCCTTGACTTGGATCACAAGTGAATAAAATGACCTGAAGGTCATTATTGTTGGAAACTGCCTCTTGATGTTGCTAGCATGGTTGCGAAACCTTCATGTGGCCTGGGAATCTCGAGCATCTGGATGCAAAAAAGTCACTCATGGATCCTAGCGATTGGTGACGATCATTGAGCCAACCTCGCACATACGGTTCGCATCTCCTTCGAAAACTGTGGCTGCTGCAGATCCAAGGTATATGACATGTCTAGGGGGTTGTTGGGAAGAGACAGCACCAGAGGCAGCACGATAAGTGGGAGCCTGAGAATGGACGATTGAAGCGCTTTGTTGTTGAGATCACAGGGCAAATGGAAGGAATAACCCAGGGCCCACTCGTGGAAATTCAGATGATTCCAACGCGAAGTTTCTTGCCTGAGAACCGCAGCAACCCCCCTCCGTCCCACGAACATTCTGAGCATCATCAACGCAAGGATTCTTATCCACCGCCTCGTCCGTCCTTAGAGTAGGATCTTAGCAGACCTGCACTAGAAGAAGGTTCACAAATCCGAAACGGCTTCCGTGTCTGTCCGGAAGGCGCCCATCGGCTGATGAGACCCCGTCGGACGCGTGGTGTGCCTTGTGCAATAGTACAACCATAGATGCATGGGGAACATGGGTCTTGCATGTCTTGCTCTGTGAGTCATGGCCGGGCTTCTCACGTCAAGCCGACCAAACCGAGTCGGAATCTCAGGTCCCCCCATTGCCTCATCGAAATCTGCTGAGTTAAGGCTACTATGCTTAAAGCTCAAGCATCGAGCCTTGATGGAAACATTGGCAGCCAAGGCCCAAAGATCGGCATGAGAAATAAGTCGCGGGACGTACCTCCCATTTTCCCAAAATGCAGGTTCCCTGCTTCCCACAGCAACACATCAACTGAAGAAGCTTTATCCTTTCGGTTCACTTCTCTGTGATGGGGCCGAGAAGTGCAAGTGCCACTTCTGGCCTCATGCTATTCAGACAGCTTCGATGGGCTCGTCATTCCTTCTGCTTCTCCACATCGCCCAATCCAGGTAAGCATCCGGCAGCCCTGCATTCGCCCCTAATGAATGTTCGCCGCTGCCTCACTGTCTGAAAGAATTGGTGAATCCAAGCCATGTAACATGACAATCAACACTAGCTTCGCCCAGGGATTGCTGACCAGGAGGGTTACAACAAGGTGGTTCCGAGTCTGGTGGAGCAGTCTCGACTCTCGCGTGGCATCCGAAGAACAAACACAAGCATGCTTCGAGAGATCTTCAAAGGGGTATGCCTGCGGCTCAAGCAGCAGACGACTCAGAAGGCTGGGTCACAAACCGGCCAAGCGCATTGCTGCGTTGGGGCAGCCATCAGCACCTGTCCCAGAGCAGAGGAGCAGCTGCACATAGACAACAAAGATTAGGACGGACTGCGCGTATCACGTGCAACTGGACAGGTTCATGGCAGCAAAGGCTAGCGCCGTTGAAGACACCAGCATCATGCCAGGAAAGACGGATCCTTGGCTGGGAAACAAGCACTACTCACTGCTCACCTATCGCCTGCAGTATTCAAGATCGAAATCTCTCAAGAACCTTTCCGGGCTGAGCTCCGGACATGATCGGCCCACAGTTCTTGGCCGAGATCAGCTTCTCTAAGTCAGCCACCTGCGACATCCAACTAGAGCTCTGAGATTCCGGTGCTCAGATGGAAAATTCCGGCAAGTCGCCAAGTGGTCGTAGTTCAGACAGCGGCACAGCGTCAGCCTGAGGCCACCAAGGCACGGAATGCCGATGGCAGGTGCAGCAAGGAGTCTAACGCATTTCATCGTCAAGCCATGTTTGCCACACTCGCACGGCCGAGGCATTACCCTAAAGTCCTAGGAGTCCTGAGAAGCCGCAGAGAAGCCCTTATGCCAGCAACAGCTGCTCGGCAGTGGGTTTCCGCTGAAAGTCAGCGATCCAGCGCTGCATGAGAGCCCTTGCCTTCTGCTTCGCCAGAGACACCAAAGGCCGGGGAGGAGCGGCATCAAAGCGCAAGTCCTCGTGGTGAGCTGCACCAGGGATCAGATGCTGATGTATGTCCAAAGCCTCTCCAATCCTCTCTGGCTTCGGCGCACCAACTCGCCATGGATCCTTCTCCCCATTGGTGAAGAGCAAATGGCCAACATGCAGGTCACTGCCTCCGAAGTTCACTTGAAGCCACGAAGTTCTGGGGCGAATGCCATAACGAAGGTTGCAGGAATCCGACACTTCCGACAACTGCCCATCAGCAGCGGGATAAAATCCCATACCATCGGTTGTGAGGGATTGCATTGGCAATTCATTGCAAGCTTGATACTGCCATGGCCCCATGTCTGGCGGGGTAGATGGCCCATGCAGGGTTCCGTTTGTGGGGCGACCGACCATCTCTGCCAAGAAATCATAGCACCGGTAGGTGCCAGTTGCGTTCAAGAATAAGTCCAAGACCGCTTTGAGCCCCTCAAGTGGATTCCCAGTTCCAGCCAATCTTTGGCAAGCAGCCTTTACAGGGTTTGCCGGCAGTTTCGTTACAAAGTCACTGGCCACAGGGTAGTCAAGCATGGCAAGGGTGCTCACTGCTCCGCGAACGAAGAAATCCACCTTGCTGCCAGCAGTCACCTCTTCTAGGAGCGGGTCACAAGAACCGAGGAGTTCTCCGAGGCGCCTTCGCCCTTGAGGCGAGTCAGATGTGCTTCGCAACAACTGGAGAGAATTGTTCAACTCATGCGCGCACGCCCGACTTCCAAAAGTTTCAAACGTGTGCAGCGTTGCGGACCAGAAAGCATCTTGTCGTCCATCATGGGGGTAGAAATCGATGGGGGCCGAGGAGGCAATGCCACCGGCGCTAAGGTGAGGGTACTTCTGCTGGAACCACGCAACCAGCATGCCACCATAGCTGCCCCCAAGGGTGATAAAAGCGCACTCCTTCCTTTTACAGTTTAGCTGCTCACGGAGCTTCACGATGTACCAGGCGACATCCGCCAGAGCTTGCTCCACCGTAAGCCGCCGGAGGCAACGACTCAAAGGAACTTCAGGAAGGGATTTCCCATAACAACGGTGCTCAACAAAAACCACCATTGCATTCAAGGCTACTGCATGTTCGAAAATCGCACCTGTAGCGTTGTAGAAGCCTTCAACCGAGCCCTCTCCTCCAAAGAAGAGCAGCACCGGCTTCCCTGTCGTCCACCAGTCCCTGTACATCAAGATCCTTTGCTGGAAAGTACCGTTGGTCGTGAAATCGAAGTTATCTACGAAAGATGTGGCATGGAGGACCTGCGGCGGGAATCTTTCCAAAGCGCCACGTGGGCCAGCGGCCGCCAAACTCACCAAAAACACGCTGGCCCAGAACCTGGCAAAGACCGTAGCCATAGCTCGTGAAACTACCAGTATTCCTTCGTGGCCTGAGCCCAAGCACTGATAAGTTGGCTTTTGGGTGAACTTGCACAGCCAAAGCAGTTGCCACCACGGAGTAAAGGACTCCAAGACGCGCTCTCCAGCTCTACGTCCGTCTTGCACTTGTCAAGCATTTGGGCGACGTCACCTGCACCCCGGTGCGCTCGACCCTTTGTGAATGATCTCTCCACAGGGGACTCTTCACTGAGGCATTTGCCGGTCGTACCATTTACCTCCACAATGCTATCCTGAGCAGCGCGATTGCACATCCCGGTGCAGAAAAAGGCCAAGCCAAGCTGGGCTCCAGGGCCCCTTTTCGGATTTGCATCTCGGGATTGTCTTGGTTCCACTTCCTGTGATTTCGATCTCTTCTCCAAGCGAGTCGCAGGCAGGATGGAGCTAGGATCCGTGCTCTGCCACTCCACCGGTCACTGACATGATCGGCAGCACAGAGCGCCTCAGCAAGATCAAGACTTTATGCAGGAGGGTTCTTGGAACTTCCGAGCTGCTGGCTCCGCCATGTAGTCGACATCCAGCCCAAGTTTCAGGCCACCCGACCTGCGCTCAGGAACGGCTGCTGCAGGCAAGATCTGCAAGACTGCATGTTCCGGGTGCCAGCAAGCCGACAAATCTGCAGGGCCCCGGCTTCACAAGCTTGATGCTGTAGTGCCTCTCCTTGGGCAAGCAAAAATGCCAACCGTTCCTTCGACAGGCAGGCAACAGTAAATCTCTCCTTGTCGGTTTTCCCGCCGGTCACAGCGGGCAGGGCATTCAAGGAACTGTCCTGGAAGGGGCACAGGTGATCGACAAAAGCTTGGAAGGAGAGCTGGTACAAGCAACTGCATGAGTGAGAGTCCAGAGCGGGCTTCGCATCCACTGTCGCCTCCACTCCTGGGGCGGTGTCCGATTTGCAGCACCTGAAGAGCAACTTCCTGCTTTGACGCTTGGCGCTCAGCCTTCTGCTCCGCTCTTACTGAAGCTCCATCCGGGGCTTTGGCGAAGCATTTCCCATGTTCTACCTGGAAAAAAGCCTCAGCCACTCGTGCCCAGCTGAGTTTGTGCGCTTGGACACACTCGCGGACCCTCTGCCACCAAGTTGCTGGAAGAACGGGCAGAGCTTGGGTACGGCGCGTGGCGTTGAGCCGCACGGTCTGCCCTTGAGCCCTCGTTGCAGCCGTACCGAGGCGCAATGCATTTTTGCAAAAGTCTAGACCAGTGTCATCATGAAACCTTGCACCATCCCCGACAAAGCCACAGATCAACTCGGTCTGTGCCAACATGGAGAGTTAAAGCTGTGCAGCATGGATGCCCTTTGAGCTTCCAGAGGGAAGCTTCAACTTTGGGGCTTGGACCCTGCTTCCCTCACCAGGCAGCTAGCCTCCTTCTAGTGAAATGTTGCCAGTGGGTGGAAATGCGCCCTTTGAGCACCGCAATTTGCACGTGGCAAGATGAAGGAAGTCTTTATCTACGCGGCACCGTCAGAAACGGTGCAACTGGCCAAATTCCATTTGCGAAGCCAGTGGGAATTGATCACGAAACTTTCCTGGCAAAGCAACTGAATTGCGGGTTTCGCACTCGTTGTAGCCTTCCGGAACTCAGAAAGTCCTCGTGCGCGAAAGGTCCGCTCCACTGGATGCGGCAGGCAATGAACTGGCTTCCGGCGAAGTTTGCAACCTGCTGGCAGCAAAAGGCATACTACTTGGATTGGGTAGACCATCTGCCATACTTAGAACCGAGCCGGCGAACAGTCTTCCAAGAAAGGGAAGTGGCACGACTGGAAATGGCACCTCTTCACACATCTCACATGCACCACTTGAGGAAGAAGCTGGACTTTGAACCGCCCCACACTGACTGAGTTAAACGACTCTGATATCCCAGGACAAGCTCTGGAGCGTCTTTCAGAATGGCTTCTCTGCTTCCGTCGCTTCCTGGACATGCTCGGCGAGTCTCTGAGTGTGCGGCTGCGTCAGCAAGCAGTCTGCTACTGCATCTTGACCGTAGCCCAAGTTGCAATACCTGGCTGCACACATTTAGACGAACAATGGAAAAACCCAGCTCGAGATCTGCTGCAAATGTCTATTGGCGCACTCGAAGCGACAGGCGCTCGCAACGCATGCCTGCAAAATGAATCGATAAACAGGTCGTGAAACCCAAGAGACAAGAATCCGAAGAAGCGGCGTGCCTGTAGGCCATCCTTGAAGCGGACATTCACAAACCGGCTGCTCCTTTGACACTATGAAACCGGACTCTCCAACTTCAATGCTTGCAAGACTAAAAGGGGCCTTGGAAAGACGATGTCGCAAACTTTTGTTGCAAACTCGACCTGCAAACACATGAGAGCACATTCTGCACTTGCACAAGAAAGGGGTATCATCAGCCGCTGCCTCCTGGAACTCACAGGGCTTCGCGCAGTGGACACCGCGCAGCTGCAGCCTGGTTCAGCCACCAAGCGAAGGAGCGATAGCAAACCCTCCACTTCTGATCTGATCTGGAGACGTGCAGTGCAGCAAAAACACAGAGGTGCAGGGACTGAAGCACTCATGAAACAGCAAGCCGAGAAAAAAGCCAGCAGCGAAAGGAATTCACCAAGAACTGTGCCAGAAGGACCTCATCCCGTGGAAGGTCAGTGACTCCAGCAAGTCGCAGTCCTGGCACTCTTGCGAAGAATTCCCCCTGTCTCTCCTTTTTTTTGGCAGCCTTCAGAAGGATGGATTGGGAATTGGAACTGCCGAGTTCGGGGATTTCTTGAGAAGGATCTTCAGGGGCTTGGGGTCTTCTTCGGCACGAGTATTCACAAGTGCTTTTGCTTCATGAGGACTCTCTGCAGGGCACAGGAGATGACAAACAAGAACTCGAAACACTACAGCGTCCCGGCGCCTCTAAGCACAGGATGATCTTGCCCTCACACTCCTTACATGGAACAGCAACGCACTTTTTATGACTCTCGCACTCCAAACGTCTTCGCTGTGCTACAGTCACGTCCCTTGCCAGCGACAGTTTGACCACCTACCGCCTCTCTCCTTTGCAAGTTCTTCGCCTCAGGCTCTCACTATTCTTGGAAGCGTTCGCAGCTTTGCACGCCTGAGGCTAATCGTGGAGCCACCTGCACGCTGCGGCATGGCTCTAACCTTGGCTACGAGACTGCGATGCACCGGCCTTTGGTCATGCGGAGGAGTCGGCCATGGAAGTATGTACGCTCGCAGACGACTCGGTCAAACGGTAGGGTGATGTCCTCAGTACACAAGACCGGACTCTCCGTAGCTTCAGAAACCTCGAGGTACCAAAATCTGTTGATGACAACTAGCGGGACAGTCCAAGCAGTGCTTTTTACACCTCGGCAGGTGCATCATGTCCAGGAATCTCCCCTAAGGCGTTTTTCAGAGAGCGCAACGCGCGCATGCGCCTCAACTCCTCGTCAGGTGCAAAACCGGCTAGCTGTTTATGTAATCTGCCTGTCCTGTCCCTAAGCTGAGGGATTTCTGCAATTCGGGCTGGTTCTAGTCGCACAAACACCAAGGTGCATGCATCAACTCCTAAGAGCCCTAGCCCTAGACGCCAACGCTGACAAATGAGATTGGGGGTAGCCATCAGAAATGCTTAACCGAACAACCTCTGTGGGTGCTGACAGACCATTTGCAGCTTGAGGCTTCTATTCTACGCCCTGCGGCTCTACTCTGTTGAGTGCAGGGCCAGGAGCGGGGTTGGTTTGGCATTCGGAGTGTCATCCATGTGCCCAACAGTGCCCAACAAGTTTCCGTTTCTCACACTCCTTGCTTGGTGGGGTCTGTGTGTTGCTTCTTTCCAGCATTCCCATGCTTCTTTTGGTTGACACCAAGTTGGAGAAGAACGAAGCTGAAGGAAAAATGCGCGATTGCAAAGCAGAAACACTAGCCGATCTGGTGGCCTTCCTACTAGTAGCCCGGAGCGAAGATTGAAGCTCAAAGTAGATTGGCTCCTCTTCCACAGCGTTTTCCAGCAAATCTGCACGCTCTTCGGCATCCGGAGCTTGCAGGATACCTTGCCAAAGCTAGCTCTGCCTCTATAAGATCACTTCTGCTCCTGCTACCTGTTCGGACTGTGGCTTCGCTGTGCCCTGTGCTAGGCTTGGCACACTGGAAAGTACCCTGCAGCTGAGCAGTGCCCTCACGCAGCAGCTCCCCCACTTGCTTGCCCTCACGGCGAATGCGAGCAGGCAGCACCTTCGCAGACTTACGTTTCCAGGCCACTCCTTCATCTGCCAAACAACAGAGCCGGACCTCTGGTTGTACCTTCAAGGCCTCGTACTCCTGCCCATTTCAAGAGCTCAGCGGGATGACTTGCACCGACTGTAGCAAAATGCCACACACATGCCTCGGGATTTTGCTCCGCCCACTGCGCCGTGAGGCGCTTGACGTTCTCTCGCAGGCGACGGACATTCAGCTGGAGCCTGTAATTCACGCAAAGACATGTTTCAAGATCTTCGCTTGTCTCGGCTGGGTTCTTCAAGAAATCGGCCTGAAGGATTGAACAGAGGCCAGCATGCTGCACATGTCCTGACTTTCAATCGACTTCCGCTGATGCACTCTACCCCAGTCACTCTCGGGAACCGGTCGCTGAGAGGCACGCCCAGAATCCAGGATTCCTGCTGTCTTTGAGAGAAATCGTTTCTTCCAAGGCGACTAGCTGACCAGCGCTATGAGGTGTCAGACAAAGCGATGCAGGTCCTGATCACACTGGCAAGGCGCAGACTTCGGGCCAACCTGCCCAATTCCTCCTTAGCTTCTGCCGCTCGGGCATTGACAGCGGAGCTTCAACTCGAGGCTGCTGCTGGCTTCTGCTGCTCGAGCTCACCTCGCGACCGGATGCCCGCGCCCCCCACCGACATGGCTCTTGCTGCAGTCTGCAGATCCGTGCCTTGCAGCGCCAAGGCATCCTGTAGCTTATGGCGGATGCGGCCCAAGGCATTCGAGGCATCCTACCATCAAATGACAGGTCAAGGCCACCCGAGCACAACCAAGCTAGAACCGGGGCTTCCTGTTCGCTTGGGGGCGAAGCATCATCTTGGTCGAGCTCCTGGTCCATCAACTGCACCTCCAATGATGCCACTAGGTCACTAGACCACGACATGCAATCTGCTCCAGGCGCTGCGCACACCCCACGCAATTAGGTCAGGTGCACAGAGATTGCCTGGTGTCATCCGTGGATCGGAAGTGCTTAGACTCTAGGACTCTCAAGGGTTTTCGGCATCTTTGAAAGACACATCACGTGATTCACTGCACGAAAGCATTTTTTTCTCAGTGTGCATTAAGAATATTTCATTGCCTTGCAATTTTTGGCCTGCCCACACGGCCAGGGAGCTTTTGCAACATCCACCGTTGCTTCTGCACTTGCGAAGATGTCATCATGCCCCAGCCACGGCCCCCGTTTCCCCGCAAAAGCCCAGTCTGAAGTCGAAGGCGAAGTCTGGAGCAGGAAACCCAGATGGCGACCCCGTGCACGTCAGCAACCCTGGAAGATGGGATGCAGCTTGCCGGAATCAGTGGTGGCCTGAGCTTTGAGGTATCTGGACGGCTCCGTCCAGTCTTCGGGGTTTGCCACGGAAATGATGCGGACTCCTTCAGCTTTTGAGCTTGACTTAGAGTTGGAGAATCAGAAACAGAACCTTACCCGATCCGCTGAGGCACAGGCGGCCGCGGACTTCGTGCTCCGCAACCTGAGCTCCAGCGCCCATTCAGGGAGGTCAGCTTTCTTAACAGCAAAGCGCATGCCAAACACCAACAAAAACTGAGGCCAGCCTGGGCACGTACTTGAAATGTCCGTGTGTGTCGGCTGAAACATCCTTCAATTCCTTGAGGTGAAAGATCAACCCAACTTTCGCGAGGAGGTTCCCGTGATGATGCGTGACCACAAAGATCCGACTTCCGTTCAGAAGAATGTCATCATAAAGCTGTAGATACCTACAGCACGAACACTCAACGAACTAGCGGAGCATGGGACGATAATCGCCAATCTCGGCCGCTGCCTTGGCTCTGAGATCATCAGCTGCTGGCTTGGACTTGGCAAATACCTCAAGCGGATCTTCAGTGTTGCTGGAGGCTTGTGAGAGAATCATGATGTTTGTTGATTGTTTTGTTTTCTATAGACGACTAGGCTTTACCCCAAAAGCCTATGTTCAAGAACTGCCTGGCAGACTCTAGACTCTAGACGTGTATTGCCAATCCCTTGCCAAGGATGCAGCAGGGGTCCCTCATCAGCGTTTGCGCTTCTAGACGACGTCCTTTTTCTGCATTTCGCGCTTTACGCAAGTTTCAAAATTGATCGGTCTGTAAGACTTGGGCGTTTTGCAGGGGCCTTGTTTGCAGGTGGGCGGGCCGACAATATCAATTTTCAGCAGTTTCCTAGTCATGCCTCGGCCACGAACTCAACATAAGGCCATGGGGTTCACTGACTACGTCGTCTCATGTATCATCTGGGCGGCACTGCTGGCAGTGGCATAATCGGAAGATCAATTCGTTTCGTCGTGAGGTCGGGAGGCATTGGCTTCTGAGCACCTGACGCAGTACACGCACCCCGCCAAGTCCTTCACAGTTGTGCGTCAGACAGATGCTGGGGCAAGGGCCCTGCGCAAGATCCAACCTCGGGCGAGCAACACATGGCTTCGCTGATATGACGACAAGATCAATCAGCACCTTTTGCTTAGCAGATCCGGTAATTTGGATGCTTCGTTCCGTGCCCCTGGGTCTAAACATAGCTCATTTACAAAGCATCAGCTGCGACTCCATGGGATCACTGGCATCTTATTTCGATTTATACAGGTTTTTGGGTACTAGATTATAGTATGTTCTAGTACGTGCTGAAGTTCATTGTAGTATATTACAGTATATCATAGCATTATATAGATGGTATATTACAATATGTTCTCGTATGTTGTAGTATATTATGATACAATACGGCATAGTAACTGGTGTAGTGTAGTATGTATAGTATTATAGTAAGTAGACTATCTACTTCAGGCAAGGCACCACTCGACATTTTCCCAGGCGCCACCATCGCCAGCTCCGCAGCCAGTGCGACTTCTTCGATCTCTGCGAACCAAAAGCACATCTTAGCTGCTAGGACTGTCAGACTATCAATACAAAAAACCTTGCTGTCTTGCCGTTCTTGCCGGTGGGAGTTGATGGCATCGGGACTTGCACATGAGCGGTCAAGATGCAGGTCAAGCACCCCATGGATGCACTTCTGACCGCGCTGCTTGTCGACCTGACCCCAGAGTTTGAGTTTGCCCCACCCTGTCCATCGGCCGCTCTTCAAGACTCGCACCCGAAAAAGGCTCGGCGCCGCGTCTGGCCGTGTGCCGCTCGTGGAAGCAATGGCACAGCAGCTCGCCCGCGCAGGATCGGCGAGCATGATGAGGCAGCATAGCACATGATATTGTGTGGGCACTTCTAAGTTGGGTTTGCGATCTAGGTTCGAATCTAGGTGGAAGCTAAGTCTGGCTTCAGACTTGCTGCGCAGCACAACACAAGCCGCAACGAGCTGACACACGTAGTAGACTCCGCAAAGTGCCACAAAACGACTTGGCAATGAAAAGCTTTGTGCGTTGCATCACATGTTCAAGTACGCAGAGCAGTGTGACAGACTGAATCTCGTGCAAAGGCATCTCAGACGGCCAATTGGCGAAGCGGGAGCGCAAGATAGCTTCCGAAGCACTGCCGCCGAAACATTCAAGAAGCCCGTGTAAGGTAGAAGCCCCGTGCAAATCCGAGTTGTTGAAGATGGCACCTCAGCTGTAAACAAGAGTCAGCCCAAATTTCCTCTCTGGCGGCTTGCCTTTCAGAGGCTGCGAAAGGTGACTGCCACAATGCGCGCTGAAACTATCAGCAAAGCGCCGTAACTGTGCAGGCTACAGAGGCTGCCAGTCAAGCCAGGATGCTGATGAACTGCCTGTCTTTCCTATCTTCGTCACTGCCTTTGAAGGTGCAGGTGTCCAGCTCCTCGGTTTCTCGAACCCTTTTCTTGCTGAGTACTTCGCCATGCCAAACAGATCCACGCAGCAGAATCTGCAACAAAGAGCTCTTCAGCGACCCGAAGATTGCATTGCACCAGCTGCGACTCCTCAACAGATGAAAGCATTTCAGATTGAACCTGTTTGACTGTTGCCGGTAGTCACCTCGACGGATGCCATCATCGTGAAAACGCCGAACTGGACGTTCTCCAATCTTGAGCTGCTCACTTTCACCTAGTCCCACAGGCAAGGATGCAAATCTGCTAATCTGCTGGCATGAAGCATCGGTATTGGACCTTAAGTGTGCATAGTGCTGTCCGCCGCACAAGAAGCTTGACTAAGGGTCAAGCTTCACCGGCCGTAACTGTGAAGGAGAAGTCGCAGTCCAGCAGGTCACACCTCCAAACGTTCTGAATAAAGATTTCGCGTTGGCTCTTCCTTTCCGCGTGGAAAGAGCGTGAGTGATGTGAGCACGAGCCGGAGTTGCAAGGGCAGCGTGAGTGCTGGAGGGGAAGAAGCCCCGGAAGGCCTTTAATACATATGCATGTATCTATCTTTATATATGTATATATATATGTATGTATATGTCCGCTTTCTTCACTTGTTTGTTTATGTTTAATTATGCATGCTTGAATTTACTTATATCTAGTTGCATTGACTTATAGCTGTTATTTTTATTTACTTGTGTTAATACTAAACAATATTAAGTTTTACTTGTTCATATTTGTTGATATCTATACTTATTCATATTGGTATTCGCTTTTACCTGTTTATATTCACTATATTTAGTTTGGTTTAGTTGTAGTTGTTTAGATTTATTCATAGTTAGTTATAGTTATATTTATTTATATTTGTTTATATTTACTCATATGTATGAAATGCAGTATCTATTTTCATCTACGTTTGTATGTTTTTAACTATGCTTACTTATCTATCTTAAGATACCCCCATATATATATATATGTGTGTGTGTGTATATATATATATGCTTTCATCTATTCATAAATTTGTTTACACTGATAGTTATATTTATCTTTTTTATAAGCTTATATATATATATGTGTGTGTGTATACATATGTATATATGTATATACATATACTAAATATATATGTACACTTATCGCAGAGCGGCAGCTGTGCCATCTTCTTTCGGGCCACTAGGTCTCGGTGACCGGTTGCCCGGCGACAGAATGTGCGAACAGCAATGGAAAAAGGCGTCCGCGGTGCAAGCTCTGCAACACTCTCGTTGGCGCACATTTTCGACCAATCAGCTGGAGCATACTTTTCACCAATGTCCGGACTTGAGCGGGCTCCACGCTTCAGGTCGTCTCATCATTCTTTAAGGTTTCTGCCGTTTCCATCGTCTGTTCGAGCTGATGTGTTGGTGTGGCCCGTTTGCTGCTCAAACCGAGCTTCCCTTGTCAAATCTTCCGACCACACCGTTGCAAGAGAAAAGGCCGCGTCCACAGAACGACAGGAGCAAAAACACAGCGACATGGAAGAGGAAACGGTTGTGGAGAAGACAGGAGTGCACGCAGCACCGCCGCGAGTCAACGCGGGAGGTCTGCATTGAGAGCCACGATTGTGTGGCAATGGACTCTTACTACGTAGCTCAATGGCACGTGCAGTCAGCAGACGCAGTGCTCCCAGGATTTCTGACAATGACTGGCACAACCCCGCCTGTGAACCTCGATCTTCTTCACGTGAGAATTCTCCAGACCTCTTGTCGACGGGAAATTGCAGAAGGGCTATTGACAAAAAGCCGTGCTCTCGCCGTTCATGGGAATGAAGTAGTGAAGTAGGACGAAAGCACAACGACATCGCACCACGGCTTCTATAATATGGCATAGACTGCCCTTCCTTCCAACAAAGCACTGAGCCAGGAATCGCGAAGGCAAACGGTGGTAAATCTGGATCGGATGCATTCTGAGGTCAAAGCGCAAGTTCTTGATGCGGAGTCCAACCAAGTGGATCCGATCCTGTCCACCAAACCAGTCCACCAGGAACAGAACCGAGGGAAATCAAGTTGACCAACGAAATTCCGAATTTGCAGCGCGGTTTGTCTTGAACACAGCTACCCGCACAGAGTGCTCAGCACGTCCATGCTCTTCCAACACATGAAACTGTCCATGATCATCTCCGACCGGCAAAGACCCAGCTGGCCCAAGTCAAGAACCTGCGCAGACACCAGTCCAACAACGCTGAAACACCTGCGTGCATGGGCCGGAATGGACCACCTCGGCTGGTGGAACTTCACAAACTAGCGATGCAAGCAGCTCCTTCCTGACCATGCAGAGCACTCGACCCGCCCATGCTGCACGTTGCACAAAGCATGTCGGATTGGCGTCAGTTGCATCTTGGAGCGGCCAGGCCTCATCACACCAAAAGCTTCAACATGCCGCCAACAGGAGAAGATCCAGAGCTGCACATGGAGCGTGAGGCTCCAGCAGCAGGTAGTAGTCAACGTAACGGCAGGCTTCAATGCGCGCCTGCCGAATAAGCTGCGCCTCTATTTTGTCTTCGAGAATCTTCCAGGAAGATATAAGAAGACAGTATCCACGCAATGTCGTAGAACCTCCAGGTCCAACTCCTGTATTCGCCTCGCCTTGTCAGACAAAGGAAAACCCACTGAAGACAGCGTGAAGGCAGGGCATCTCTCAACACTCTAAACAGAAGCCAGGCTGCCATATCCGCCTGGGGCAAGTTGCCACCCTGGAAATCAAAGAGCCCTACGCACAAGTACAGGCATGCATGCATGCTTGCATACATACCTCAAGACTTAAGCCTTTGCCCTATCAATCGCTCCAGGCTTACATGACTACCCAGACATGTCTGAATACATGTTGGAAGTCTGCTGCGATGCAGAACAGCCGACGACCCCGGTCACCGCATTTTCGAACGAACTTTGCGGACGGTCGAACAATGTGCCAGCTCTGCTTGTAGGCAGCGGCTCCGCACAACAACGTGTTGGCGCAGAGGGCTGGCGTGCCGACATCATTGTCAGCGGGAGGACGCCGTGTTGGCTCACTCCGAACCAATCTGAAAAGATTGAAAATCCAGACCATGTACAGAAGGCAGGCAGCAAGTCAATTCAGTCGCAACGTGGACTTCGATGACTTGAAAGTACTTGCAGGTAGCATTAAGTAATGACCAAGTACTGCATGCTGTCATGGGCAGATGACTCTTGATGCTGCCGAAGACCTACGGTTGGGCTAGCCTCTGAGTCGGACATGCGATGGCACAGGGTGGCCGCAATCCTGAAAAAAAATCAAGGAGTCCAGGTCTTAAAGATAGCAACGTCAGGGAGCACGGTGCCTTCATGGAGGGTAGCTCAGCTCTCAGCAGCTGAGAAGCCGCGCCTCAGCATCGATGCCCTTACATCTGGCACTGTCGCGGAAGCAAAGCGAAAATAAATCAGCCTCCGTGTGATTTGGCCAGCAGCAGCATGCTGTCCGTCTCCTTCCGTCCGGCAAGGTATGCTCTGAAGCTGCACAAAGCACACAGTGTCCTGCAGGCTGTTTCTGGACGTGCCAGGCCCGTTGGCGATGCATTGTGTGTCAACGACAGAAGATGTCCGTGCTGTAACAGTTCAATGAAACCAAAATGAAGCATGCCATGTGAACTGGTGTGAGCACGACCAGAAACTGCAAACTTGCTCATGCACCTTGTTTCCACATCCGCCACCGATGATTCTGTCTGAGCTGGGCAATGCCTGATGCAGGCTCCACGGCAAACAGCAGTCTTCCCCTTGCACAGATGTCTGCTCGGAAATATGTGCCGCAACGCCGTCTGAGATTTTGACCCATCTGCCACAATGGCCGCCGGTCCGAATGTCCTCCAGATTCCGATTTTGAAGATGGTCATCGATGTCTACTTTAATGTGCGGACACTGCTCTCCGTCACATTTCCAAACCTGACAAGCGAATGCAGCGAACCTGTACCGGGATGGCACGATCACATTACTTCACATGCGAGCCCATCTGCTCAAACACCCACCTGATGAAGCTCTGCTGGCGAGCCCGGGGTACGGGGCCATACACAACACTGACATGAACCGTGAAAAAGGAACTCTGTTCGCCTCAGAGTCTTAACTAACCTCCATGCATTGCCTCGTCGCTCGATGCAAAGATGCACAAGATGTTCCCAACTGATGAGTTGCACCATCTTGGCTTAGGCTTAATCTCTTTTGACACACACCAATCCCATCAACCTTGTTCTATCCCAGGTGCGCAGTACTAGATTACTATTCGGTATGAATGAGGCGCGGGGCGCCTTCGCCTGCAGAAAGCCTCCACGGTAGAAGATCAGAAGACGGTTGTCAACCAGGTCCAGGGCTAAGACGCCCACGGACTCCCTGGCAGCAGTGAGTCAACGCAGCAGCACAGGCCCTTCACAAGTATGCCTAAGCAAAAAAAGGGGCAGCAATCTTGCCATGCCGCTGGATGTCCCACAGCGGCTGCCATCCATCCCGCTCCATAGACCAGCCATACCTGCAGAAAACTGGCCACTTTGCAGCAACGCAGGCTGGTCCAGAAGAAGCCCTTCGTACTGTTTCCGAGCTAATGTTCGATGGGATTTCGATGTGAAACCTGCAAGTTCAAACAAGTCCGTGACCAATAGAGTCTTGAGAATGGTTTCTTGGGCGGGGGGAGGACGAGTCTTGGAAATGAGGATCGCATTCTCCATAGTGCGTCGGATGACCCTGATCACAGGGGCCGCTGCGAAACACCAAGTAATGGGGGAGTCAACACAACCCCCTGGTGAGAAATAGCAAATGCATCTCCACTTAGACCAGTGACGATGCAAAAATTCTGACAGATCACCATCTTTCCTTCGCAGGCACAGATGATCACGGGAAGAAAATCTTTACATACACAAAGACTACCGGCGGAAGTGTTGACGGATTCCACACACCACAGCTGGTGAGAACGAGAGTCAGTGAAAACTCAACCCTCTGGCACGCTGTACATTTGCATACAACAGGCTGAAAACTTGCTCGTGTCAGCTGAAGCTGCGCTTCCGCTGCAATGCTTTCTCGACCACCCCTCCCGAAAAGAATCCATCAATCGTCTACAATCCACACGTCGCATCAGCGTTCCTGAGCTCTTACATGTTTATCCAAGTTGCTGGGATATGACCTTGTCACTCATGGTGGCTACAAGAGTTCGAAGTGCGCCAGTGCTGGCCGAGGCCTCGGCTGAGAAAGTGCGATGCAACACGTATCTCACCCGCTTTTTCGCAGGTCTTGAAGTTGAAGACTCAGGAGCTGCTATGCTTGTTGGAAACCACCGAAATTCGTAAGTCGAGGCTTGGTCGTCGGGTCACATTTCTGCTGGTGGCAATTCGCTGGGCTTCGCCACTCGATTGAAGCAGCGGGCTGTGAACTCCACTCCTGCAATCCTCAGCTATGAACTAAGAGACGCCGAAATGCGATTGTCACGTGTGCTGACAGCCAGAAACAACGAACAACCCTTGATGTCAGCTGGCACGACAACACTCCGGTTTGCAAATTCCTTGGTCCCTAAACCCGAAACCCGAAAATTTCCTCGCTGGCCTTGCTCTGGCGACCGATTGAAACCAACATGCTGCCATGGGGCCACTACCAAGGGTGGAGTGCCATGCCTTAGCAAATGCTGTGCGAGTGCAAGACAACTGAGGCGCAGACAAACTATGCTATACTATACTATACTATGCTATGCCATGCTATACTAGACTACACGATTACTATCCTACGCTATACTACACGACACCATACGAAACTAGACCATACTTTGCTGTACTTTTTTGCATTCCATCACATCATGCTATACTCTGCTATGTTATCTCATACCATAGCATATTCTATTCTATCCTTGTCTAGTCTATTCCGTCATAATGTCATAATACTACATTGTATTGTGTTTTGCTGCGTTGTATGATTATGTTATACTCTACCATACTATATTATACTGTACTTCATTATATTTATAATGCGTTGTATTATGTTTTGCCAAATTATAGTGATTATAGTGCATTATATTCTGAAATATCACATCATAGCTTCTTATGTGATGTCTTATTTCATTATAGTTCATTAAACTACATCGTACTACTCATCATAGAAGATCATGTCGTACGGTCTGAAAGTATTTCATACTATATCAAAGTGTATTGTATTTTCTTACAAACTGACTCAAGCTCAAGGTTTCTGGGCTTTAGAGGCTTTACGCTCTCACAACTCGGACAAGCCAGGCGAGGTCTTAAGGGCTTCTGATATGGTTGATGGAAGGGGTTGCTCTCTGGGATTGGGCGAACGCCCAACACCGAAGCTTATCATCACTTGCACAAGCTTGTCGAATTCTGGTTCATTGCGAATTTAAGTGACAAGGAGAACCTGAACATGGGGTCTTGAGCTGCCGCCCTGAGCTTACCCACAGAGTCCTGCCAACGGAAAGCTGGCAACTGTCGAGGCTGGTGGGAATTATTACAGCGCTTCCAAAGCGCAACATGTCCCCAAGTCCAAGGTGCACCAGGATGATTGGCCAACAATGGGTCGCATCGCAAGTTGACGATATGTCGGCGATGGTCCCATTTACTGAACCTTGGCCATCAGCAGCTTGTCTGTAAAACACGATACAGCATTGACCTACTTTTTCAGATTCTAGCTCCCTGTCTGCAAGAGAGGAGCAAGGGTAAACCACGACAGTGGACTTGTTGTCTTTCAACTCCTGTGCTGCAGGGACGACAACCGTGAGCAATGCCACGTCCATGCTGCGATCTGCACCACATTATGATGCAGGTCAGCATCATATACACGGTATCGGTCTGCAATGAATACCTGCCGCAGCTGAGTTGCGACGAAAAACCGGTGTCATGCAGCCAGGACGGCAGACAAGCCCTGCCTGGTTCCGTGGACACACCAGAGCATGGGGACTCCAAAATGGGCTTGGCGACGCCATATCCGTTGCCGATACCTGCGCACTCGCACGATAGTTCTGCCGTGCCGTGCCCACGTTGGCGAGCGAGAAAAGCAACGAATAAAGCACGGGCATCAGCACGAATGCCGCTCCACTATCCGTTCAGACTTCGCAAGCATCTGCAAGCAGGGTCGGTCCATCCCTTTCTGCGGAATCCAGATCAACTGCAACTCTCTTTGCAATCTTTCCTCATCCCTCCATGGCCATCGGTGGTCCGCATCCCTCGAGTGGCACTATTTAATGTCAACTGACGCGCATCCGCGTCTATACTGGGTGGTATAATGTACCCAACATGCCAACAAGAAAAAAAGCCGGCAGGAGCAGTTTTGCTGCAAGACAGCATAGGACAACTTTACTCGCAAGCTGGAGACAGCATGGGGAGATGCCCCAGAGTTCCTTACTCCATAGCACCTGACTTTTGTGCACCTGAAAACGTTCCCCCCCCCCCCCCCCCCCCGGGCTTGCACTCAGTATACGTCCACCCGAACTCTGTCCCATGCCCCTCAGCCGCGAACCGGGCACGCCGCAGCTACCACACAATCCCACAAGACGCTTCCCCGCAATCACACTCGACGAGCATTGTCCCTAAGACTGACTCAGAGCATGTCCGTGCAGCATCGTGCAGCCGCATGTCATGGTCAGCCTCAAGTAGTGGCGGCCCATCTTGCCACATCGAAACTGCAGCCTTGGCTATTCGCAGGACTATGCATATGCAATCGGACCCACTGCGACACGCAAGTCGGAAGTCGGGCCTTGCTGTTTCTGAAATCCATGCCGTAGAAAGCGCCTCACAAACCACAAAGGTGCGTCTCCATGCATCCGCCTCCACAAGGTACACCAAGGCTAAGTCCCGGTCCATGGAGAGCCCAGATCAAGGCGAACATCCAGAATGCGCTAATGACCAGCGTGCCTCATAATATCGGCTCGCAAGTACACGATTGCTGGATCAGTTCATAAACTGGCGTGAAGCTAGTACCAAAAGCCTTTGTGAATTTGCAACGCTCAATCACGGGTCCCGGTCAAGTAATCACGTGCACAAGCCCATGTCAAGCATTGGCGGTGAATGCAAGAACGGTCTCCGCATGCGTGACGTGCGAGGCAGTCTTGCGATGCATGCTGTGACCGGCAGTGCGCTTCAAACGTCCACGCGAAGGCTGAGCAGTGCCTGCCCTTGAGGACACGTATAACATGCTCGAGTCCAGGCGAGCTACCAAGCGAGAGCATCATCATTCCACTCAGTCCGCCTTTCTCTTTCGGTCTTCTAGGCCGGGGACCACGCCTTTGACGGCACAGCCGTTGCAAGCATGCCATCAACAGCAGCGAAGAAAACTCACATACATGAACACACGTGTATTAGAGAGAGAGAGAGAGAGAGAGAGAGAGAGAGAGAGAGAGAGATTAGAGAGAGAGAGAGAGAGAGATAGAGAGAGACAGAGAGAGAGAGAG